GGTGAATTCCCAAACGAAACTCTTTTCTCCATCAAAGTCATACAACCATGGTACGCAAACATTGTAAACTTTCTTGTTTCCAGCAAATTTCCTCCACAATTCTCAAAATCACAAAAAGAAAAATTAAAAATGGACTCAAGACTCTATGTGTGGGATGACCCATATTTGTGGAAACATTGTAAGGATCAAATAATCCGAAGATGCATCCCCGAATATGAGATAGCCCACATAATAGAGTTTTGCCATTCTTACGCTTGTGGAGGACATTTCGGCCCGAAACGGACGCCAATGAAAATTCTTGAAAGTGGCTTTTGGTGGCCAAGTCTTTTTCGTGATGCAAATGGTTTTTGTCGGGCTTGTGACAACTGCCAAAGAGCGGGGAATATTTCAAGGAGAAATGAGATGCCCCAAAACCCCATGCTTTTCTGTGAAATTTTCGATGCATGGGGTATTGACTTCATGGGACCTTTCCCAAACTCTCAAGGTAACATCTACATCCTTCTTGCGGTAGATTACGTCTCCAAATGGGTGGAGGCAAAGGCAACGAAGACTGATGATGCCAAGGTGGTGGCTGGTTTCCTCAAATCACACATATTTTCAAGGTTCGGAGTCCCTCGAATTTTAATAAGCGACCGAGGCACACATTTTTGTAATAAAATTGTGGGATCCTTACTAAAGAAATATGGTGTGACTCACAAGATATCCACTGCTTACCACCCTCAAACCAATGGCCAAGCAGAAACCTCGAATAGGGAGTTGAAGTCTATACTCCAGAAAACAGTGAACCCAAATCGGAAAGATTGGAGCATACACATTGATGACGCACTATGGGCATACTGAACTGCCTACAAAACTCGAATCGGTATGTCCCCTTATAGACTTATGTTTGGCAAAGCTTGTCACCTTCCCGTAGAGCTTGAACACAAGTCATATTGGGCGGTAAAAGAATTCAACCTCAATCTTGACGAGGCCGGTATACATAGGAAGCTCCAATTGCAAGAATTGGAAGAACTCCGCCTGAATTCTTATGACAATGCGGAGATTTACAAAAGAAAGACGAAGGAGTGGCATGATAAAATGATCATAAGGAAGGACTTTAAACTTGATGACAAAGTCCTCCTATTTTAATCCCGCCTTCGTCTATTTCTGGGAAAGTTAAGATCCCGTTGGACCGGACCATACAAAGTGGTCAAAATATATCCACACGGGGCGGTGGAAATTGAAGACCTGGAGACGGGAGAGGTGCTCAAGGTAAACGGACAGAGACTAAAACCCTTCTTTGAGGGTTTTCAAACCAAGAACGTGGAGACCATAGCCCTTTCTGAACCGGTCTATGAATAAAGGAGCAACGAAGATATCGTCGAGCCACGACGTTAAACAAAGCGCTTCTTGGGAAGCAACCCAAGCAAGGTATGTTTTCTGTATCATTTTATCAAGTAGTGTGTGTGAGTAAATAAATAAATAAATAACCTGGGGATATACCCGCTCGAGTATGTATATATTCTCGGTCGGGTATTGATGAAAAAGAGAACCCGAATTCAATACTCGATTGAAGTAGCCGGAATCTTTCTAAAATAGAGGCATACTCGATCGGGTATAATTCTTTACCCGGTCGAGTATGAACTGAAAGAAAGAAAAAACCTGTCCTCAGCACTCGATCGAGCACATAGCTCAAAATGACCACAAATACGAATACCCGATCGGGTATTAACACATACTCGGTCGGGTATGTCCGGATAATAAACACCACCAGATCCCTGTCTCTGAGGCCCGATCAGTACCCACATATACTCGACCGGGTATTGCTGGAAAACAAACTTATTCGGTCCCCTGTCTCCAGTACCCTATCGAGTATAGGGTGATACTCGATCGGGTATACCTGTATTTTTAACAATAACCCACGCGGCCAACACTTCATCTTCCCCAACACTCCCAAAAATTCGAACCTCCTACCCCCAGACCTCCATTTTCAAACCTTCTCTCTACCATATCTCCCTCATTTCTCCACCAAATCAACTCAGTCCACCACCAAAACACTCCCCTCACTCTCCTCTACACACCTATACCCATAAATCCCTTTTTCCCCAAATATCCAACAAATCCAAAAACCCTACCCCCCATTCAAAAATTTGAATTTTAAAGCTTAAAAGCATCAAAGAATGGCTCCAAGGAAGAATAGGGGAGAGAGCTCAAGCACCGTGACACTTATTCCGGGCTTCGAGGACCTCATACCCGCCGACAACGATCACCGAGCTAGACTCCTCTCAACAATAAAAGGCAAGTAAAACCTTTGCGTTTTCTATGCCATGATGCTCTCCGTGAATTAGGGGTCTATAAGAGTTGTAGAAAATTCTTTCATGAGTTGGGTATGGACTGTATTTTCAAAATGAAATACAACTCAAATGAACGAATTATCTATGAATTCATGAGTTCGGTGCAATTTGAAAGTGATGAGGCTGATTTTAAGGATGATAGACTCAAGTTTCGTCTGTTTAACCAAAACTATTCAATCACGAAACTTGAGTTTGCGGAACATTTTGGCATCCCCGTTCCCTACGAAAGAGCCATCTCCGATAACACTATTTTCGGGCATTCCTTATGGACAAAGATGACCGGGGAAGTGAAATTTAGCTCCTCCCAAATGTATATTAGTCATGTCCAACACCCCGTCCTCCGGTTGTTCTTGAAATTTTTAGCAAATTGCTTGCTTGGACGTCCCAACAACCACCACACTAGGATCGGGGACGTGTGTTTGATGTCTGTGGCCTTATTCCGTCGTCATGTAGACTTTAATCTATGCAATCTCATGTGGGCACATTTGAAAAAAGAAAGCTTAGCGAAAGGGGCCATTGTTGTGGGTGGGGTGATTATGCACTTAGCGAGTAAGTTCGGGTATACGGATAACTCTCCTATACCCGACTATTGTTTGATGGATATGGGTTGGTTAGGCCGCTCGGGATGCACCGCTTTTTCCCATACGGTGTATGATGGGGATCAACCGAAAAACATGTACAACTGGATCATACACCTCCAACCTGTCCAACACTTCCTAATGCCAAGCCCAGACATCCCCAAAATACTCTACAGACCGGAGTTCGAGGTGCCTCACTACCTATTCCCACACGCCCTTCCACCAAATTTTCAAGAACCTCAACAAGACCAACCCGAAGACGAGCCTTATGTCGGACCCCATGATCATGAAGCCATGGACGCAGACATCCCCGAGCAGAACCAGGTCCCTCCACCACCCGATTACTTCCAACAACTACTTGACGGATTCACCAAAGTTACCAACGAAGTTGGAAAGTATCGGGAGGAACAAAGAGCGGGATTTCAACGACTTGAGGAGCAACGAGCCGCAGATAACCGGAGATACGAAGAAGATCAACGTAGGTTCTATGGACCTATGTACTCTTACATGGCGCATCAAGGCTCCTTCCATACCATGGCTCAACCACCCCCACCCCACCCCCCTCTTGGTATGACCCCACTCAATGGGGTAACTTTGGAGGATCTAGCTCTGGGGGTGGAGGTTATGATGGCGCGGACGGAGGAGATGCTCACATGGGCGACAGGGGCTATGGAGGCGGCTTTGGAGGCGGCTTCTACGGCGGAGAAGGTGGACACTAGGGACAGTGCTTCACATAAGTGTGGGGGAGGAGACTCATCATGGGTATGTCACTTTATTTTTACCCTTTACTATGCATGAATTTCTTTTACTCTTTGTAAACAAAAAAAAAAGAAAAAGAAAAAAATAGAATAAATAAAAGAATAGAAATGCTAGTTAGGTTGAAAACCCAACAAAATGGGCAATCTAAGCAAAAAGGGATTATAAAAAACATGAGTGAGTGGGGAGAATGGAAAATGTAAAGAGATGCTAGGATGAAAACCTGAAAAGGCTCCTAGGCAAAATGAGAGATATGAGAGAAATATGTGTTTTTGCAGGCACTCATTTCATCTCTTAGGAGAAGAAGAGAAGAAGAAAAAGAAAAAAAAGAAGAAAAAGAGGCAAGAAGATGGAGCATAGAAGATCATTAAACCCAAGAAAGAATGTTGTTGTAAAAACTCATTTGTCCCCTTGGTGGTCTTCGTTTGTTTATTTCTTGAACTCTTGAAAAACTCTTAAACTGTTTGATATTTCTATTTTACTCGAGGTCGAGTAAAAAACTAAGTGTGGGGGAGTTGATACGCTTGTAATTTCCGTGTGTTTATTTACGTTTTTAGTTAGTTTTGGTTGTTTAATGTGACACCGCTCCCGAACGTCCTTGAAAATTTGATTTAAAATTCAAAGTTTATGTATTGGATTTCTGGTTCCCAAACATTTGTAAAACGATTAATGTTTTACGTAATTAATGATCGATTTGTGTACTGTTCGAACTCGTATATTAGTGTCGGGCATGCAAATACCACTTGGGTCTTATTAATAAATAAAAGAGCCCAACATTTTCCAAATAGTGATACATAATCTTTCAAGACAATCCGAGTAAGGTCGGACGGCCCAAACGTTATTTTGAGCCCAACCTGCTAAAATAGCAAGTATTCGAGAATGGCGTTCTAGACCCACTCGGGAGTGACCCACACGGCTAGTAGCCCAATAATATGTATGACAAATGTCAAATAAGTGATAGGATGATTAAAGAAGAATACAAATGCCTATAACCCCACCTTTGGCCTTATTGAGCTAAATAATGGGAGTAGGATTTTCCTTCTATAATATCTATCAAGTAAATTATTGGGATGAGCCTACACATATTGGAGATCAATAATGTGATTTGAGAAGTTGACTTGTTCTAAATAAATTAGGATGAGTACAAAAAGACATCTTTTGACAAAGATAAAGCAATAGGACCCATTTTCCCCATTTTTGGAAGTATTGGTAGATAATTTGGATCCCAAAATGATTGGGATCAATTGGGAACCACTCCACATGATATTAGTACCTGCAAGACAAATAAAAATGGGTTAGGAGACTTACCTTGGCCGGCCATTATGGAGAAGAGCTGCACATGACTTGATAAGAATCAAAGTTTGGGGCCACCACTCTTATTTTCGCACAAATTGGTGTGCTGTTTGTCTCCTCTCATTATAGGAGCTATCCTCAACCAAATAACGTGTATGAGGTGTCTTTGGATAGCTTTTGAAGTCTATTTTCATATTTGAGTGGCCACAGTTCGAGAGGAGAAGTCAATCATCCAAAAATCGATCTGGAACGAGCAGAGGTCTGTGAACTCGAGCTGTGAGAGTGCTGAGACTGTTTGGCCGATATCTCGAGTTTTACCAATCCAATTAAGGCGTGTGAGATACCAAAATAAAGCTCTCAAGACGAGGAATCCGTGAAGGTCTGGTTTGCATCAATCGGAGTAGAGGAAGGCTTCCAAATCGTCCGAGCAGAACGAGACCTCGCAGGGACGGATTTACTCTTCTAAGTGAGTTGTTAATCCCAAAACCTTTCCATTCATTTTCCAAATGATATGAACGATTGGTGGGACTATTATACACTACTCCAAGTGTATAAAACATCCCTATTAAGTTATTTTATTGATGTAAAGGTTAGATACTAACCTAGATGCAAACATTGGAAAACTAGGAATCGAGTTAGCCGGAAAACACCCGTTCTAGGGGCTGTTTTAGTATCAACGATTCGGGGTTGAAATAGCAACTTGAGGAGGCTGTTTAGCACCCATTTTCAAGCAAGGAACTAGTTCCCAATCTTCCTTGGCCGAGGCTTTAGCCATTGGATCGAGAAGGAAGGTTTTAAAGCTCATTTGAGGTGAGGATCGACATCTAGTTGCTTACAACTTGTAGGTTAAGCATGAGATTACCTAAATGCTTAAATAATGTTTTCCATGGATTATGATGATAACCTATTGATGGAATGTTGATCTATTTTCCAAAGAATGAAATAAGAAATGATTTGGTAAAGTATTGATGAAAATGGAGTTAAATGAACTATTGTGTGAAATAGGCATTTTACTCATGTGTGAATTGTGTAGATACATAAATGATTATTTATGTATTACATTGAATGATTAAGTTGCTGCTACATATCTCTAAATATGTAGGGTTTTACAAATGGAATATATGATTGATAAGAATAATCTTAATAGTATTGAAATACTAGTTAATGATTGTTGAAATTGTTGAAGAATTGAATCTAAGGATTTGATTGTAATTGATGAACTTGATTGTGATGCAAGTGACTAAATTGATGTAATGTGATGCTAAGACCATGGTTGGGCAGTCCGTAGGGATGTCCCAAGATAGATTATTGATATTACAATTCTAGGCCTAGTGAGTGCTTAGGAATTGGGGTCTATGCCAATGTAAGGAGATGTACTTGAGCCCGTGCTCATAGAATTGCATTGGGTAGACATGATGAGGTGATTGTGTGCATGGGGATGTAGTCGAGTTGGACTCGAGAATGCACGGTGGAGTAGTTAGCTTATGTTAATAAAGGTGCATGGTGATGTAGTCGAGTTGGACTCGAGAATGCAAACATATGTGTTAGGGTTGGACCCTATGTATTGTTGTGACTAGGGGTCACGGGATTTTGGGGTATGTTTGATAAACAAACCTTGGGCCTACGGGCCGACTACTTGACTTTATATATAAAGTAAGTATATTTTAAAACGGGGTAACTTGGGGTTACGGCCTAGATTATATTATCACCCTATTTGAGGGTCTTGTGTTTGAAATACTTGTTGTATATCTATTAGATGCCATCCACACCAGCACTTTATAGCCGTATAGAGTGCTGACCCCTTCGGGGGCGTCCCACCACCATTTTTCAGGTTGAGGCTAGAGCTTGCTTCCTGTGCTCGTTGCTCGAGGGATCATCTAGGAGGGAAGACTTGGTTCGTGCTTCCTCCATTCAGTTTTAAACATTAATAAACATGCTCATGGATTTTTACTTTAGAGCCTGCGTGCTCATGTTAGCCACGTGTGGCATTTGTTTTCAAACTATGTTTTCCGCTATGTATTCGATTACTTATTATGCTTGTTTATGGATGGCTTACGTGTGAATGATATTCGGGACGCCTTGTATAATATGAATGTGTTGGACTGCGGTTGACTATTCGTATTGTACGGCGGGTTGTTGGCGTGTCCGGGGAGGTCCGGGGCGTGACAATTAAGTTGGTATCAGAGCCTTAGTCCATAAACTTCATAATGAAGTCTCAAAATTCTCTTTTTGAAAAAGATTTTGAAAACCATGAGCATAGGAGTTTTGTACTTGGAGAGCTTTTGGTACTTGGGTTGCAAGGTCTCTAATTGTTAAGATGGTACCCTTAGCAATTGGTATGGCGGTGACTCGAGCCAAAATGTGTCTTAAGTACCTATCCGTCAATTGACATTTGATACGAGTCTAATGACTCTTTCCAAATTTCTTTCAGAAATGGACGGTGGTGGCAGGATTACTAGGAGAAACCCGACGGGCCGTGTACCAGTGGAGACTGGACAGGGCAGTCGAAGGACCTCTAGGGCGTCTAGGGGAGCTGGCCGTGGAGGCCGATCACAGACCGTGAGTGACGGTCATGTTGACACAGAAAGTGAAACCTACTGGTCCTATGAGGACTCAACTTACCAACCGGAGACCGAGCCGGTTGAGACCCCTTACGAAGGGGATGACGATGATATAAGTGATGAAGAAGGGGAGAATGACTCCCTAGCCAGAATCGAGGCGCTGCTCCAACAATATCAGCGGGAGCGCGAAGAAAGGAGGGAACGCCGAAGGCGCCGGGGAGGGCGAACTTTGGGTGGGGCTTCAAGAGGAAGAAGCCAAGGCGACTCTAGGGCCCACATTGAACCACATGGGGGCCGGGGTGATGGAGGTCCGATCATAAGGATCTCAAAATTTCTCAAAGAGGCGAGAGACTTGGGGTGCAAACCCTTCAACGGAGCAGGTGACATCTCGGTTGCCGCGGAATGGATCAAGAGGCTGAACGAAGCAGCCCTTGATATGCAACTCACCCCCGAGTTTAAGCTAAGGGTGGCGGTGAGGTTGCTTGAAGGGATGGCATCCACATGGTGGGACGGAGCCAAGGGAAAGTATGGCAACACGGTGACTTGGGAGAATTTCCGACAGGAGTTCTTTGCCCAATATTATTCTGATTTTGAGGTGAACGCCAAGAGGAGAGAGTATACCCTCCTGACCCAAGGGGGCAAAATGACGGTGAGGCAACTTGAACACAAATTCAGGGAGCTCGCGGAGTTCATACCGGAGTATGTGTGTGACGAGAACCGGATGGTAAATCACTTCTGGGATGCCTTAGACCTGGAGGTGCGTGAGAGGGCAACACAGTTGCCTAACATGACTTTTAGCCAAGTGGTCGAGCAAGGGTTAAAAGGAGAGAAAGAATGGGAGGAAAGAAAGTTGAAGAACGCCGATGAGGCAAAGAAGAGGAAGTGGGAGAACCATGGGCATCAAGGTCCTAGCAAAAAGGGGAACCATGGGGGAGGGGGATCTTTTCGGACACCCCCACTGCCACCTAGGGGAAGTCATGGCCCGGGCGGGCAATCACAAGCCTCGGGGGTGACTCGTTGTAAGAATTGCAAGAGGAACCACCCGGGGAAATGTCGTGACCCTCCTAGATGCTACCAATGCGGGAGCACCGGTCACATGAAGATGAGCTGCCCACAACTGGGCGGGACGAGGGCATCAGGGCCAAGTAGTGGTAATACCGGGACACGGAATCAAGCCGGGACTTCACAAGCATCCAGGGGGCAAGGGGGAGCAAGCGCAAGCAACGCGCCGTCCGTGAATCAAGGAAGGACTCAAGCTAGGGTCTACGCGATGACGGAGGCGGATGCTCAAGCTAACCCGGATTCCGTTGCAGGTATTGCCTCTCGTATACTAATGTTTTATCCTTAATTAGTCCATAAATTGAAGTTATAAATCCTAGAATCCAGGTGGGAGCAGACGTAAGATTGAAATGGGAAAGGAGAGCAAAACCATGCTACTACCCGATCGGGTAGGGCCATAAACCCTACCGGGTGGGACGAGTTTTTGCCCTCGTAAACCTTCTGGATCGTATACCCGATCGGGTTTGGTAATGAACCCGACCGGGTAGGACAAGTTTTTGCACTCATAAGTCCACTGGAACACATACCCGACCGGGTATGGTGGTATACCCGACCGGGTTTGTCAAAAATTTCTGCCCGACACCTTCTGGAACACATACCCGACCGGGTATGGTGGTATACCCGACCGGGTTTGTCAAAAATATCTTCCAGACACTTTCTGGAACACATACCCGACCGGGTATGGTGGTAAACCCGACCGGGTTTGTCAAAAAAATTCTGCCCGAACCCACTGGAACTTATACCCGATCGGGTATAGTATGTTACCCGACCGGGTACACCTCGAAGTGTTCGTCAAATGAAAAAGTTGTCTTCATGAAAGTTGTAGATATTTTCATTGTCTAAATGATGGAATTTGAATCGAACGATTTGGTTAAGTATGTGAAGAGATATGATCAAAACGGTGAGACAGTGTCAATCTATATCTCAACTGCGAACGTCAACCATAATTGGGGGATTTTGCCCACTTTAAGGACATGATTTCGCATTATGTTCTTCGTAGGATTGGTCGGTATGTTAGAGAGGTATCTTACATGGTTTATAAATGTAGGAACACTAAAGATTAATGGGAGATGTGCGAGAATCCTCATCGATACCGGGGCGCAACGATCATTTGTGAGTGAGGCATTCGCCGGGGGATTCAACGCACCCCTGGTACCGATGGCTCAAGCCCTATTGGTATCCACACCCCTAGGGGAAGACATCGAGAGAGATAGCCACTATCCATCGTGTGAGGTGGAAGTGGAGGGCCAAAACTTGTCGTGTGATTTCGTGCCGCTGAGTATGATTGAGTTCGATGCAATCCTGGGGATGGATTGGCTTGAGAAGCATCATGCTAGGGTCGATTGTTACACGAAAGTACTTGAACTCGAAGGCAATGAAGGGGTAACCTTACGCTTCGAGGGGGATAGGGCAAAATCCAATAGTTGTATCATATCCGCCGTGAGGGCTAAGAATATGATGAGGAAGGGGTGTCACGCATATCTAGCGTATGTGGTGGACAAAACCAAAGAAGATACGAGCATTGATGATGTTAGGGTAGTATGCAAGTATCGGGACGTCTTTCCTAAAGACTTACCGGGACTTCCACCCGATAGGGAGATTGAGTTCGTGATCGAGGTCGAGCCCGGCACCAAACCAATCTCCATACCGCCATACCGTATGGCACCCGCTGAACTTAACGAGTTGAAAACCCAATTGCAAGAGCTTTTGGATAACGGTTTCATTAGACCAAGCCACTCCCCGTGGGGAGCACCAGTTCTTTTTGTGAAAAAGAAAGATGGGACACTTCGAATGTGTATTGACTATCGTCAACTGAACAAGGTCACAATCAAGAATAGGTATCCTTTGCCTAGAATTGATGACTTGTTTGACCAACTACGAGGGGCAACCGTGTTTTCAAAGATCGATTTGAGGTCGGGTTACCATCAATTGAAGATTAAGGAAGACGACATACCAAAGAGTGCTTTCCGCACAAGGTATGGACATTTTGAGTTCCTTGTTATGTCGTTTGGGTTGACAAACGCCCCAGCGGCATTCATGGACTTGATGAACCGAGTATTCCATAAATACTTGGATCGATTCGTGATTGTGTTCATAGACGACATTTTGATTTACTCAAAGAGTGAGGAAGAGCATGAAGAGCACTTGATACTCGTTCTTGAGACACTACGGGAGAAGCAACTTTATGCCAAATTTTCTAAATGTGAATTTTGGCTAAAGGAAATTGGCTTTCTCGGGCATGTGGTTTCGGGATCGGGAATTGCTGTTGATAATAAGAAGATAGAGGCCATTACCGAATGGGAGAGACCAAGGAATGTCAAGGAGATCCGTAGTTTCCTTGGATTGGCGGGCTATTACAGAAAGTTCGTGGAAAAGTTCTCTGTTTTGGCGTCGCCGTTGACGAAGCTCACTCGAAAGGGAGCTAAGTTTATATGGGATGACAAATGTGAGAAAGGATTCATCGAACTAAAGAAGAGATTGACCGAGGCACCGGTACTTGCATTACCCAAACAGGGTGTGGGGTACGATGTCTATAGCGACGCGAGCATCCAAGGGTTTGGGTGTGTGTTGATGCAGGAAGGGAGGGTAATTGCCTATGCTTCACGACAGTTGAAGAAGCATGAGGTAAATTATCCTACCCATGATCTGGAGCTGGGAGCAGTGGTGTTTGCACTGAAGATATGGAGACATTATCTCTACGGGGAGACATGTCACATATACACTGATCACAAGAGCTTGAAGTACGTGTTTACTCAGAAAGAGCTAAACATGAGACAGAGACGGTGGATGGAGCTGATAAAAGACTACCATCTAGTGATAGAGTACCACCCAGGCAAGGCAAATGTGGTGGCAGATGCTTTGAGCCGGAAGAGCTCGTCTGGGGCATTGCTAGCTAATTTGAGGGCATTAAGAGCCCAACTGGAGGTATCCAGCGATGGTGCCTTATTGGCACGATTTGAGGTGAGACCTACTTTACTTGATGAGATCAAGAAGGGTCAGGAAACCGACGAAGAAATTATGAAGATCCGGGAACGCATGCAAGCGGGACCGGTGGAGGACTTCAGAGAAAGAGATGACGGTCTCTTATTATTTCGTGACCGAGTGTGTGTACCGGCAGATGAGGAGCTCCGAAAGTCCATCTTAGAGGAGGCTCATTCATCGGCGTATGCCATGCACCCGGGGGGCACGAAAATGTACCGTGACTTGAAAGAAAGTTACTGGTGGTCTGGGATGAAGAGGGAAATAGCCGAATACATTAGTCGATGCCTTACTTGTCAACAAGTTAAGGCGGAACATCAGCATCCAGCAGGCTTATTGCAGCCACTTTCCATTCCTGAATGGAAGTGGGCACACGTGACTATGGATTTCGTGGTAGGTTTACCACGGACAATCAGGAACTATGATGCAGTTTGGGTCGTTGTGGATAGGCTCACAAAGAGTGCACACTTCTTGCCTATCAACACTACCTACCCACTTGAGAGGTTAGCCAAATTGTATACGGATGAGATCGTGAGGCTGCATGGGGTCCCAGTGACCATTGTATCCGATAGAGACCCACGATTCACATCACGTTTTTGGCCGAAATTTCAGGAGTCTATGGGAACGAGGTTGAAGTTCAGTACTGCTTTCCACCCACAGACGGATGGACAGTCTGAAAGAGTCATACAGATCTTGGAAGACATGTTGAGGGCTTGTGCATTGGAGTTCCAAGGAAGTTGGGACAACCACTTAGCACTTGTGGAGTTTGCCTATAACAACAGTTATCAGGCAAGCATCGGCATGCCTCCATACGAGGCATTGTATGGGAGAAGGTGTCGTACACCGTTATGCTGGGACGAGGTTGGCATGGCCAAACTCGAGGGTACTGAGTTGGTTGAGGTCACCAAATCAAAGGTGAAGTTGATTCGAGAGAGACTCAAGGCGGCTCAGGATAGACAAAAGAGTTATGCAGATAAGCGTCGAAGAACCTTAGAGTTTAAGGTTGATGACGAGGTATTCTTGAAAGTTTCTCCTTGGAAAGGGATCATTCGGTTCCAAACCCGAGGAAAACTTAACCCACGATATATAGGCCCATTCAGAATTATAGAGAGGGTTGGGGCCGTAGCATATCGTCTACAGTTGACTCCTGAGTTGGAGAAGATTCACAATGTATTTCACGTGTCCATGCTTAAGAAGTATGTGCATGATCCTTCTCATGTGTTGGAGAAGCCGCCCGTGGAGGTACGTGAAGATTTGAACTATGCCGTGCAACCGGTAAGAGTTATTGACAGAAAAGTGAAGAAACTCAGGAGTAAAGAAGTTCCAATGGTTAAAGTCCTTTGGAAGAGTGACCGGGTCGAAGAAGAGACTTGGGAAACAGAAGCTTTGATGAGGAAGCAGTATGCATTCCTATTCGAGTAGAGCCGTGAATTTCGGGGACGAAATTCCTGTTAAGGGGGGGTGAACTTGTGACACCGCTCCCGAACGTCCTTGAAAATTTGATTTAAAATTCAAAGTTTATGTATTGGATTTCTGGTTCCCAAACATTTGTAAAACGATTAATGTTTTACGTAATTAATGATCGATTTGTGTACTGTTCGAACTCGTATATTAGTGTCGGGCATGCAAATACCACTTGGGTCTTATTAATAAATAAAAGAGCCCAACATTTTCCAAATAGTGATACATAATCTTTCAAGACAATCCGAGTAAGGTCGGACGGCCCAAACGTTATTTTGAGCCCAACCTGCTAAAATAGCAAGTATTCGAGAATGGCGTTCTAGACCCACTCGGGAGTGACCCACACGGCTAGTAGCCCAATAATATGTATGACAAATGTCAAATAAGTGATAGGATGATTAAAGAAGAATACAAATGCCTATAACCCCACCTTTGGCCTTATTGAGCTAAATAATGGGAGTAGGATTTTCCTTCTATAATATCTATCAAGTAAATTATTGGGATGAGCCTACACATATTGGAGATCAATAATGTGATTTGAGAAGTTGACTTGTTCTAAATAAATTAGGATGAGTACAAAAAGACATCTTTTGACAAAGATAAAGCAATAGGACCCATTTTCCCCATTTTTGGAAGTATTGGTAGATAATTTGGATCCCAAAATGATTGGGATCAATTGGGAACCACTCCACATGATATTAGTACCTGCAAGACAAATAAAAATGGGTTAGGAGACTTACCTTGGCCGGCCATTATGGAGAAGAGCTGCACATGACTTGATAAGAATCAAAGTTTGGGGCCACCACTCTTATTTTCGCACAAATTGGTGTGCTGTTTGTCTCCTCTCATTATAGGAGCTATCCTCAACCAAATAACGTGTATGAGGTGTCTTTGGATAGCTTTTGAAGTCTATTTTCATATTTGAGTGGCCACAGTTCGAGAGGAGAAGTCAATCATCCAAAAATCGATCTGGAACGAGCAGAGGTCTGTGAACTCGAGCTGTGAGAGTGCTGAGACTGTTTGGCCGATATCTCGAGTTTTACCAATCCAATTAAGGCGTGTGAGATACCAAAATAAAGCTCTCAAGACGAGGAATCCGTGAAGGTCTGGTTTGCATCAATCGGAGTAGAGGAAGGCTTCCAAATCGTCCGAGCAGAACGAGACCTCGCAGGGACGGATTTACTCTTCTAAGTGAGTTGTTAATCCCAAAACCTTTCCATTCATTTTCCAAATGATATGAACGATTGGTGGGACTATTATACACTACTCCAAGTGTATAAAACATCCCTATTAAGTTATTTTATTGATGTAAAGGTTAGATACTAACCTAGATGCAAACATTGGAAAACTAGGAATCGAGTTAGCCGGAAAACACCCGTTCTAGGGGCTGTTTTAGTATCAACGATTCGGGGTTGAAATAGCAACTTGAGGAGGCTGTTTAGCACCCATTTTCAAGCAAGGAACTAGTTCCCAATCTTCCTTGGCCGAGGCTTTAGCCATTGGATCGAGAAGGAAGGTTTTAAAGCTCATTTGAGGTGAGGATCGACATCTAGTTGCTTACAACTTGTAGGTTAAGCATGAGATTACCTAAATGCTTAAATAATGTTTTCCATGGATTATGATGATAACCTATTGATGGAATGTTGATCTATTTTCCAAAGAATGAAATAAGAAATGATTTGGTAAAGTATTGATGAAAATGGAGTTAAATGAACTATTGTGTGAAATAGGCATTTTACTCATGTGTGAATTGTGTAGATACATAAATGATTATTTATGTATTACATTGAATGATTAAGTTGCTGCTACATATCTCTAAATATGTAGGGTTTTACAAATGGAATATATGATTGATAAGAATAATCTTAATAGTATTGAAATACTAGTTAATGATTGTTGAAATTGTTGAAGAATTGAATCTAAGGATTTGATTGTAATTGATGAACTTGATTGTGATGCAAGTGACTAAATTGATGTAATGTGATGCTAAGACCATGGTTGGGCAGTCCGTAGGGATGTCCCAAGATAGATTATTGATATTACAATTCTAGGCCTAGTGAGTGCTTAGGAATTGGGGTCTATGCCAATGTAAGGAGATGTACTTGAGCCCGTGCTCATAGAATTGCATTGGGTAGACATGATGAGGTGATTGTGTGCATGGGGATGTAGTCGAGTTGGACTCGAGAATGCACGGTGGAGTAGTTAGCTTATGTTAATAAAGGTGCATGGTGATGTAGTCGAGTTGGACTCGAGAATGCAAACATATGTGTTAGGGTTGGACCCTATGTATTGTTGTGACTAGGGGTCACGGGATTTTGGGGTATGTTTGATAAACAAACCTTGGGCCTACGGGCCGACTACTTGACTTTATATATAAAGTAAGTATATTTTAAAACGGGGTAACTTGGGGTTACGGCCTAGATTATATTATCACCCTATTTGAGGGTCTTGTGTTTGAAATACTTGTTGTATATCTATTAGATGCCATCCACACCAGCACTTTATAGCCGTATAGAGTGCTGACCCCTTCGGGGGCGTCCCACCACCATTTTTCAGGTTGAGGCTAGAGCTTGCTTCCTGTGCTCGTTGCTCGAGGGATCATCTAGGAGGGAAGACTTGGTTCGTGCTTCCTCCATTCAGTTTTAAACATTAATAAACATGCTCATGGATTTTTACTTTAGAGCCTGCGTGCTCATGTTAGCCACGTGTGGCATTTGTTTTCAAACTATGTTTTCCGCTATGTATTCGATTACTTATTATGCTTGTTTATGGATGGCTTACGTGTGAATGATATTCGGGACGCCTTGTATAATATGAATGTGTTGGACTGCGGTTGACTATTCGTATTGTACGGCGGGTTGTTGGCGTGTCCGGGGAGGTCCGGGGCGTGACATTTAATATTTCGGAAATTACACACTTTTGGTGTAATAGTTTAGTTTGTCAAACTCTTGTAAATTGTTTAGATTAGGTTTATTCTGAGCTCAAACAGGTCTACTATCACTCAAAGGACAGTTGGTGAACCCCAAAAGTGGAAAGAAGGTGCAAAATCACAAGACAAAAGGGAAGATCCTAATTTTTGGTCTATACCCGGTCGAGTATCATCTATACTCGATCGGGTATCTTGTTGAAATTTCAAATCGGATCGGATCCGAAAACAAAGGAACATGCAGGGAAGATTTTGACACGATCGAATGTCTATACCCGATCGGGTACACCGACATACTCGATCGGGTATAGCTATAAATTTTACTCGAATATCGATCGAGTATGGATCGAATTCGAGTATCTACACATACTCGATCGAGTATCTGTATATACTCGATCGAGTACCCGACCTGCACCCCAAAAAGTCCAATAAATACACCTCTTTTCCTTCACAATTAGATACCAATTCCTTTATACTCTTAAGCTCAGTTTAGAATAGCATTTCTCTATATTTCTTTTAGCATGTTTAGTCTCCAAATGAGGAGCTAAACTTCCATTTCTTGGTTTTGCTCTTAAAGCTTGTTGATTATTAAAGTTGTGAGTTATTTTCTTACTTTCTCCTCTTGATTATTAATTCTTCCCTTAATCTCATTCTATATTAATGTTGGAGGGTTACTAAGTGACGATTAGTTAACGTTCCGACATTAATTATTACTAGAAACGATCAACGAACCGATGGTTAATCGTTGATGGTTTCACAAGTAAGTAACTTCGGTTTATTAATGCACGGTCGTGGTTGATAAACTTAAGAGGATTAATTTTGTTGGTTAAACCAAAACCGTTGTGTTGAGGTTATCAATCTCAATTGATTTCATCAAGGAGTTAAAGAGGTTAAATGCTACTATCAAGTCGGTATATGGCGGTGTTCTATATTTGACTAATAGTAAGGGTTATTAATGAACGGTCGTTGTTAATAACTACCCTCGATGAATTGGATATACTCCTCGATTGAGTATTCGAGAGGGGATAAGTTATAGATATAACAATGATTGACTAAAATATATCAACAAGTGAAAAGTAGCAAGACCAAGTCCCTTTTATTCTTGAATTTAATCCCATATAACTCGTTCATCTTCGTGTTTAATTTAATTAAATCACTCAACAATCAAAACCCCCTTTATTTACTCTTTTCGTTAAAAAGATAAATTATTACTTTCCCTGTGGATACGAACTCTACTTCACTTGTACTACGTATAAGTGTTAGTATCGATTTATTTTGAGTGCACACACGACAAAGTGCACGTCATATATGTGCTCAAATATAAAAATTTATTTACATTACAAAAATATGGAGACACGTGGATTCATGCATGTATGTAGCTTAAGTGTATACTTACGTGGATATTTAAAGATGACATACACGTATTGATAATAAATAATTAACAATATCTAATATCGATCACTTCATACACATAGCCAATTTTTCACTCTAAATACTTTTACCGGATAAATCAATAATATATATCGAATCCTCTTTTAAATTATGAATACATACTTTATCCATATCGCATATTGTAAGAAATTATCAATTTATATATACACATATAAATTTATATATACACATATTGAAAATTAATTCGCAAGTGATTGGTACTTGTAATGGGTCATATATTATTAAAGTCATCATATTTGAGTTGATCAAAATAAAGTATAAAGAGTAGCGGAAGAAAAATTTGAAAGTTGATTGGTGGATTCAATGTCACTATGTCAGACAGACTAGTAAAATGTTACTACCTACTCCGTATTTAGTTCATTTGTTTTTATTTGGCAGATAAAAACAAAAACAACCGAACAGCTATCTGCCTATCCAAAACCAACTCTCAAAGTCTGAAACTTGTTATATGGCTTATTGCAATAACGTACACGTAATAATGCACTTGTTTAATTAGGAGTGATAGGCTAGTTGTGCATGTGACCTTGTGGCAGAGAGACCTATTCTTATATGCATGTAATAGTGCTTATAGATATATTATTTTATTCTACTATGTTCTAATGTGTTTATTAAGGCATACCCGTGATGATACAATACAAAGACAAAAATTATTATCAGACTAAATTGCTAGCCTATATACATACACGTGAAAGCAATAGGAGGTAATATAAGCAACATCAATTCTCTTACCCAATTTACTTTGCACTTCCCTCATAGTTTCACGTAGTATTACATCAATATCTTGGTCTCTTCAATTCTTTCTATTACTCCTGCTTTCATTATCTATCTTCCATTTATTTACATAGAGCACCGAAGTATCATAATTTAAGTCAATTCTTCTACCATCTGCTTTTAAGGAGAATATGCCAGAATCCGGATAATTTGAAGGTATGTATATTTTTCTTTTATTATATGAAACGGAGTTTAATTTTAAACAAAAGCTCAACATACGTTCCACGCCATTTTGTATACTAAAAAGGATGATAAATATTGGTGTTAATACGGTTATACCTGCAGGTCGGAAATGGTGATTGTTGAAGAGCTTAAGTTGAAAAACTTGACCTCGGGAGTTTTGAGCAGATTCGTGCTAATAACGTGTTGTGAAATTAAATGAAGAAGATGCAGACCAGATTAAAGAGATAGATATATTAATAAAAGCTCTACATTACTTCTTCTTAATATCTGAGATTTTCTGAGTTTCTGAATTGCTTGAATTAATTTTACAAAGGATTGAATGTCCTATTTATACTAGCCAGACTTGGGATAAATCATCTAGGAATGATTCTACATAATTTGCTGGCAACATTAAACCTAAACATCTGTCTTATTACAAGGACTGAAATTGGATTAATGTCCTGATGACAAGGATGAAACATTCACACTTGTCATTCTCAAGAATTTACAACATATATATATATAATGCAATGTTTTTCAATATTTTATTTAAAAAATAATATATGTTACACTTCCTGATTGAATTTTGAGCTGAAATTTGATGGATATAATTTACACTTCATGTAGAACATGTTTACAAAATCTCATTAAAAAAAATTAGCCGGAAGCATCTTCAATGAAGGTGGTTAGACAGTATTGTGGTTAGGGAAATTCTTGTCAGGAATATTTGTCTTCTATAATATACTCCTCCGTCCCCCCAATTAAGTTCTCACTTTTCTTTTTGGGCAGTCCCTAAATTAAGTTCACACTTCAATACTTTCCTTATTTGACAAATTATCTACATCAAAACGGTGTCAGTGTATAAACAGTGCAAAACAGTGCACTCCACAGTAAAATCAAATTTATTTTCTTAATATGTGTGAAATCAAACCAGGAACTTAATTGGGGGACGGAGGGGAGTACCTTATATATTGTGGATCAGACCAATTCGAGTAGTGACCATTTTCGTACTTTGGTACACTTTTATAGTTATTGTTTGTTTGTAAATGTATTTGTTATTTGAGTTCACCTAAAAAAGGAATTAATAGTCTATTGATTACGTTGTTTTTTCATAGTAAATTACTAATATTATTATTGATTATTGATCAGTTTATTACTATGTACTTTTTATTTGTTGTGTCATACTAGTATGAGAATAATATTTCAAGGTTGAACTACATGCTATTGGATGTGTACCTTGCAGCTAATATAAAACTTTATTAGGCATGGCAATGGGTCGAGGCGGGGCGGGTACTGCAAGACCCGAACTCGCCCCATGACTTGGCGGGGCGGGTCCGCCCCGCTCCGTGACCTGCACGGGTCCAAGCTTGTTGACCCATGACCCGCCCCGCCGTAACCTAATTAGCTAGTATGTATTTTTATTTGTGGGAAGTTGTTACCAATTGAATGAATATTTAATTATATTAATAATTGAATATATGTATTAAAATGCTATATATAAAGAAGACATTGATAATCCGTCGTTCATCTCATTCTAATATATATATATATATATATATATATATATATATATATATATATATAAGATCAAAGAATTTATGATTTATTGTATTCACGCATATGTATGTTCAAATACATTTGTAGTATAATTTAAGAAAAAGTATATATACTTGTATATTAAGCAGGTCGGGGTGGGTCAATTCTAATACCTGGACCCGCCGCATCGTATAGGCGGGGCGGACCCGCCCCATATGCAAGACGGGGTGAGGCAGACCCACTCCAAATGTCTCGGGCCAAGGCGGGTCATTACGAGTCGGGTTTTTTTGACATCCCTAAACGTTATGTTTTTGTTATGTTTAAATTTAATGTTTGCATTTAGACATTTTTGTGATATTAGAACATTGAGATATTATGTATGTATAATGTAATGGTCATAATTTTGATAATTATTTTCATGATTTGAATTTTGAATTTTTTCATGTAACTGAAGGTAAAATGTGTTCATTTTACAAAGATAATAAATTTTTATAAGGAACGTAACAAAAAAAAGATAAGAATCGAACCGAATTTATAAGATGGAGTACTTCCTACTACTTACGAAGTACTTCGTAATAGATACTCCGTTATACTTTCTCTGTCCTTTAAAACTTTGTCAAATTTGACCTGCTCGTTGATTAGTAGAGTAAAAATTATATTGTTAAGGTTTGCCAAATTAAAGCTGGTGAGACATCTTTAAAAAAAAGTTGACAAAATTTTACATCTTGAATACCTAACTAGCCTATGCTTTGAGATACGATTGTAACGTAAACTAGACAAATTTAAATCATTAATTTTCCTTCGAAGAATAAACTTGAAAAACAAGTCAAGATTAAGAAGAGATTTTCTGTTTGGCAAGAATCAATCAGTAATACTCCACCGGGATGTCTAAACAAGTTGCATTTGAAAAATCACTTAGATTTACAGGCGGAGGGACAAACGGCGGCGTTTCACGCCTCAAGAGCGCCCAATTCACCCCGTAGAAGAAGGCATGATGCTTCACCGCAGTGGCTCCCATCTGAGACCCCAACCTCCTCGCCGGATCCTTTGCCAGTAATCTCGTTATCAGATCCTTCGCGGCGGCGGGAATGGCAGGCTCCTTCGGAAATTCCAACGCCCGAGCCAAAATGTTAGCCAGAGTATGTTCGTGATCAGCACCCTTAAACGGCGTCGTGCCGTAAAACATCTCGAAAATGAATACCCCGAGCGTCCACCAATCCACCGCGCTGCCGTGGCCTTCTCCCGACACGACCTCCGGCGCCAGGTACTCGTGAGTTCCAACGAACGACATCGACCGGATGTCTATCGGCTCCGCCACCATCTCGAGCACCGAGTGCTTGCGCCGTCTGCCCTTTCCGTTGCGCTTCCGGCTCTGGTGGAAGCACGAAACCGCCGGAGCTATGCAGCCGAGTTTCGGCGTGGGGATGTTGTTGCAGATCCGGAATTTGTCGTTATTGTTTGGAGAAGCGCCGGGCGGTGGATTTTCGAAGGGAACTACGGCGGCCGGCGCTGAGTCGCATTTCAAGGAAAGGTCGAAGTCCGTCATCATGATGTGGCCGTCCGATCGGATCAGCACGTTTTCCGGCTTGAGATCGCGGTAAACAATTCCCAGCATGTGAATGTACTCCAGGGCTGCAACCACTTCTGATGCGTAGAACCTGGAGAGGAGGCACCACCAAA